GCGGCAATATTGTGAAGTTGGTGGGCGTCACGCGAACGGGCCGCCTCGCAACGGCGAGCATCGCAACGATTTTTCTCAGAAGCTCATTCTCGACGCAACGGCGGGTGCGCTACTACCGCTATTAAAGTCGATGTGAGACGCGGTGCATAAAATATGCCTTCAGCGGGCCCGAACAACGCACTGAAGTTATCAAGGGCGGCCCGAGAACGTGAGAACGCCTCGCGTCGAATACAATTAGAATTTTTAATGAGACAGTCAGTCAATTCCTCTACTTCGACAAGCAATCTTGTCTGCCCGGCGCGCGATTGCAGCCGCGATAAGGTTCGTCCTTATTGACGCAAATTGATATTAACTCGTCGAAACGGCCGATCTTCCGCGTCGGCGGGCGCGAGGTCTATGAAAGCGACAAGGAAGTAATAAATCTTGATAAACCAACTGCCAAACGTACGACTCGTTTATATCAATTTCCAAGATCACCTCCATTACTCTTCCCAACCTTGAACTTTGTACTCCGGACGAAATTTCCAGGTAACATCGACTTTCCTCGCGAGCGCGCGCGCGATACACTTCGCTCGAATAAATTTGTCCTAACTGAGTGAGGTATAATGCCGCGAAATAAAGTGTAAGTGCCTTCTTATTTATCGCCAATTTAAAATTTGCCCGAAAGAATAAAGTTGAAACAGCCATTGCTGTTCGCGGGAGCGCTCGCTGAGGGCGGGGATGTTGTGCGCGTGTAGGGCGAAAGAACCATAGTTAAACTACTGAAGCGAATCGATATAAATCGACACTTGGAACTCGGTCACGTGCGCGGTTTCTTTTCGATCGTCCACCAATCCACCCACTCGCTCGCGGAGACTGTCATCGCAGTCGTAAGGGTAGAAACGAGAGACGGACATGCGCGATACTTGGACTGTCCGCACACCGTAGTTGGTAACAACGCAGTTGTGATGGCAACATTCATAGTGCCGCAGCACAATGTCGGCTGCACAATGTACGCGCGTCGGCCGATGATCGTTAAATCAACCGGTCCCGGCTAATCGTGTCCTTTCGATTAGTCATCTCGCGATTAACCGCGCGATTGACCGTAGAAACATTCAACTGCTTTCGTATCAGCCGTGCCTACGCGTCGTCCCGACGTTCTCGACATCACAGTCACATTTCGGAAAACACAACAGGCTATTCAACCGCTGAGTGATTATCGTGTATTCTCTTAGATCCGAAAGAATATTCCAATAACACATTGAGCGCTCACTCGAGCGTTGTGTTTCCTGAACGCAGCCATTACGCAATTCGGCTTGTTTCGTGGCAAATTTAATCGCGTCAGCGGCCGATCGAAGCTCAACCACGTACAACAAGGTGTGTCGCGATATCACGTAAGGTTCTGATTCTTAAGCTGCTAATCCGCGAAGAAGGCGACATCACCTCTCTGTGATAACCACATCGCAAAGTGAATGTTTCTGCGCGACGGGGAATTCAGGCGATGACGTAAAATACGGCGTGAGTGCAAAATTCCCGGACACATATCTAGGTTGCATTCTAAAACATCCTGTTTGAGGAAAATTTTACTCAATTACCTATAGTTCACGTTACATACAAAGGCGTCTCCCAAAATAATCGTCAAGTTTAAACTTTAGCTTGAAAACAGCGTGGGGCGGCGCACGCGAATCTTAAGTGAAACTTCGATAAGCGAACTTAATACGGCAACACTTTAATAACGCTTGAGCCTGCCTGTTGAGCGCGAGTCCTCGCCCTCAAAGTTCGAGGAGAAAAGACTGTGAACTTGACATATCGCGTCACGACCTCTACCTCCACAAGCTGACGTCTGTCATCGTTACAATATGCAGGCTTGTGCTCAAGATCGCGTCGCGTTCTCTCTCGTTTATCAAAAGCCCCCGATTCGTGCTTCCGAGTCCTCCTACCTGTGAAATTTACCGAAGAACTAAACGTCACGAATAAATAAGTAAATGTGTCGACCGAAAATGTGAACGATGGGCCTCAACGAGAAACACCGAGACGACTATCAGTGGACCTTAAAAACGATCCGAAATGTCGGTGACTCGTGACTCAAGAAGACTGCACCGAAGTTTTCGACGTAAAAGGATTCGCGCGAGGATTCTCGGGACGCACGCGGACGCGACGACATTCAAACGGGAGATCGATCGTGAAAGCTACAGGAGATGCACATCCGGTCGCAACGGTTGGGCGCACGTGGAGTCTCCATGGGTGCGCAAACATGGGCGGCTCAGGAATACGACTCCACGTTCACTAATTTGGAGAGCATGGTAAAGATTTCAGTCTCGACAAATATGCTACATCAAGACTTATATATTTCATAGTTAGATCTCCATCCAAAAAATATAATCTCATACTTTGCGGGATCCTGTTATATATTAGCCTCGAGAGAATTCTTCCAAAACCAAAAGGGGAATGCCGCTTAAAATGCTATTTGAAATACAGATGAAAACTACATTTATTATGTTCAGCCTGAAATTTAATTGTACATCAACCGTTATTTTATTAATTCATATTGATTTAGATTGAAATTTAGGCTGTGATGTTATCGTTTTGTATATCCATCATTCTAAACAGAGTTCCTAACACTTAAAAAGAATTGTTGAAAACAGGAGTCTCTAGTTGCAAAGTGTTTTCTCCTATAATCCCATATTGTAAGCGAGAACAACAATGTGTTTCTCTTCTAATAATGTGAACTATTAGTTAGAAATCTATTAGATATTATTCCAATGTTCTTTTTTCCTTAATCAAGAGAAACATACTTATTTGAATATATTTAAAAGAAATATATTTATTTGAAGCAAAATGTTTTACTAGAAGAAATTAGTAGCTAGACTTGTACTATAGATAAAAGAGACGAAATATTCCTCTGAATATTGAAGAATATTGTGCTTAGAATGTTTTCCTCTTGATTTTAGAAGAATCCTCTCGAGGCCATGTGTAAAAAGATCTCGCTGAGGGTGAGACTATACTTTTTTGAGTATTACATTAAAGGGATCGTCTTAAGTTTATCTCTCCAGATGTTGTACGGATCATTTTATTGGCTATGAAATGTCTGATGGTGAATTTAGAACGGTCTTAAATGCAAGATCGGGCTATGAATACCTATAACAGTCGCGATGAAGTGAACGATCACAACGAGAAAGAGAAGAGAGAGAGGATGCAAGTAGGTGACCGTTAAAGCGGGTCAACGTCGAACATTTCGTAAGACACGTCGCACGCTTATCGACTGTATATCCCGAAGCGGAAAAGGAGAAACCGCGAGCGACGTGCGCGCGGGAGAAACGAGAATGTTGCTTGCCCTATATATGGTCATGTGTGTCAGAGTCGTCGACTTCTCGAATCTCGGGTATAACGCGAGTGCGTGCCTACGCGCGAAACGCGATTTCAACCGCGATACTCTACCGCGCCACCCTTCTTTCTCACCGCGATGATAACGCAATCCGCAACGCGAATGCGATTCCACACAGCGCACCCGCGAAATCGCTCTCATTGACCCGCGATCGTCGACGACATAATCGATCAGCGTTTCGCTGTCGTTATTAATTACCCCCCGTTGCTGAATCTCGAATTTGCGTCTGCAGCTGTGTGTTATGCAGTGCCAAAGCGACCCGATACGGCGGGTTCATTAGGAACGAATCAATTAGTGGTATACCTGATTGCTCGATGCAACGATCGAAGGGATATGCGATTAGAAGCCGCCGCGTGATTATTAAGCCGCGATTGATTTCTGACTCGTCCTGTCGAAATTGTATTTCCCACTGAATCGACAGCTACACCGAGACCGAGTGAAAAAGTTTTGCTGAGTCGACAAAATACTAGTACCAAGTGGTTTGTTGATATGGGACAGCGAATGACCCCGTAGTGGGAACGAACGATTCGTTACTTTCAATTTGCTGTTCTGAGCAACACCTCTGTAATGGCGACATAGCTAACCAGATAGACAAGAACGAATGTGTATCTCAGGCTAAAATAACAAATAATGAGAAACGATATACGACGGTAACTGTTCGATCTGCTTGCCTAACGATCATCAAACAAACGTGCTTTTGTTCCCATAACCGAGGGTTTTTTTTCGGTACACATTTTCTCGGTGCCATTGATGCCCGAACATTTCCCAGATCGAGAGTTTACGATTTTGGGCTTTATGCGTATACACGAATAAGATTGAAACCATTGCAGTTAAAAAAGCCACTATAATTACTTATGCAATTTTCAATCTCAAGCGTTATGTGTAAGGTCGAAAATCATATAACTTTCGATCTAGGAAATGTTCAGACATCTATGGTGCCGTGTATACAGCATTTAATTATTTATCCAGTCCTTCATAATTAGCAGATCACTTATCCTGTTTTTATCTCTCTCGTAATTGTCACTTGCAAATCACGAGAAATTTTCCGCCACTTCGAAATTTTCATCCCCAAAAATAATTCTAAACCAAAAATTCTAAATCTCACAGTGAACAGCAATATCACACGCTTATTCTTCCCTAACTTCTTCTGTCATCGTTCAAATACAACTCACAATCGGCGAATCTTATTCGCAAAATATATTGATTAATTTAGTCGCCTATAATCCCTGATAATTGAGCATGGCACCGACAGTCGGGAGTGCAAAGGACCGAAACATCGAACGGGGCGCGAAAGCGGGAGAAGGGGAGAGAGAGAGAGAGAGTTCGAAGCGAGCGAGGGACGTACGATCATCCGCTTTAGCGTAATAACGAGTTTACTAACCCCCTCGCATGTAGGTTAGAGGAGAATCGATGAGGCAGCGTGCTCTGTGCATATGCATTGCCTAGCTATAGCTTCGCGGTAGTAGAGACCGGCGCGCGCGATAGACCACTACCGACGATTCGTCGTCGTCGTCGTCGTCGTCGTCGTCGTCGGCAGCCAGCCGTCGCATGCGAGCCGACGTTCTAACCGCGCAAACGTCGGTCCGCATTTCTGCGCGACATGCTGAAATTCAAAGCGAATTACATGGCGACGCAGGCCCGCTTCCAGCAGAAGCAGCTGCAGGAGAAGGAGCAGAAGCTGCTGCAGCTGTACGACCAGCAGCAGCAGAGGGCCTATCAGGTGGTGCAACGCGGTAGCGCCGGTTCCAACGGTTCCAATCACGGCTCCATGACTAGAACCACTACGACGACTCATACGACCTCGACCTCGCAAGGCGGTAAGGTAAGTGCAAACCTCCGCGCAAGCGGAAAGTAATCGTTAATGCCGCGTATGTGTCACCTACGCGTGAGAGATCGAATAACTTGTCTCGCCTGGCGTCTTTGTATTTTCATCGCGTGTCTTGTCTGTCTCCGGGCGCGATTTCGGGAGAAACGATCAGAACTGTCGTCTATTTTAGTGGGCAGGTTTTAGTGAACTGTGTGATCGAGGAAATTTAACTTCCCTCATGAAAGTGTCGTGATGAAAGACAGGTGTTGCACTAAAAAGAGGATTTTGTCGAAACGAAAATTTGGTACACCGATCATAATTCGGCGGAAATGAGATCGACCAAATGTTTAGTAGTTGCAACCTGATGATTTAACATGTGTGTTTCGCTTTCTCAATAATACATGTATTTGACACAAGCAAAGAACATGTAATGCCAACCAAATCGTATGACACGAGGTAAAAGATACATTCGAAAGATCTTCAGCAGAATTCTATATTGTCTCAAGAGGATCCTCCTAAAACCAAAAAGAAAATATTCTGCGATACAAGTCTTGTTCTTAACAGAAATTTCTTCTAGTAAAAAAGTATTTTACTCTAAGAAAACATATTATTTTTAATTGAAAAAGGTCAGAATAATATCTAGTAAATTTCCCACTAACAATCTACTCATAATTTAGAATACAGAATTAGCACCTTGCAATTAGAGTTCTTGTTTGCATTATTATAATATTTTTCTTTTGGTTTTAGAGGAATCCTCTTGAAGGCAATGTAAGAGGATCCTCCGCTAAAGACAAGATTGTATTTTTTCGGGGGATATATGCCGTTTGGATTATATTTACTTGACCATAACTTTGATTATTTAATATCGTCGGTTAAACTATCGTGCAATTAATGGAATGGAATGCAATTGTCAATGTGTCAGTTTGAAAGGAAACGCTTATGACATTGTCTACAAAGCCGACGCGGAGAAATTTACAATGTACGATCGATTGTCGCAAGGTGAGGCAAATGTTCGACGAGAGGCGGCAGACCACCGTGAAGGGGATCGACAGGAGCTACCCTCTCGAGCCGCTGGAGAACAAGCTGCGAAAGCAAGCAACGAACGGCCTGACGACGCAGCGAAACGGTAATCTGACGACGGTGAATCGACAGTCCGTCAACGTGAAACGCGTGGCACGTGCGGACGTCAACAGCAACGTGAACGGCGGCAAGCCTGTCGTTTCTTATCGCGAGGAAGTCACTCGCGAGTCATTTGGCCCATCCGTACACCGTCACGATGACGAGGACGAATTCGGCAGTGAGAACCGCGTCGTCAACGGACATCATCGTCACGATCTTGACAATGAGGTTGGTAAGAAGCGGTGTTGGTTTAGCGAAGTGGCTTCTTACCCTCGCACTACAAAAAAGGATCAGTCGAGTTAAACAAACTCAATCTCAAGGCTATGAACTACATCTTCTCTAATTCTTACAACAAAATTTCCATGTTCCTTTCATCTCTGATTTGCACACACGCGGAGAGAATTTTATAACGAATATACTACACGGAAAAAAAGATTTTTCTGTCAAAACGAAGATTTGGTGCACCGAAGCAAAATTTGATTAAAATAAAATCGACCAAATGTGATAAATGCAATTAAAAAATTGAATCGCCGCTTGCACGTTTTGCTTTCTCACAAAACAATTCCAGATACAAAAATAATCTTTTTAATATTCTTAGCGAAATTTACTATATTCCTTAGCAAGATCAACCATATTAACAGCCTACTCTTACTCCTATTAAAAATATAGTAAAATTGAAAATAATTTACACAAAAAAGAAAACTATAATATTCTCTCCGTGTATTTAATCTGTTTTTTAAATTTTAATTCTACATGAAGTGACTATAAAGCTCGACTTAACAGATTATCAGTTGAATATATCGTCTGATTGATTTAACCTTCTAACTGAAGGTAGTGTTGCTCCCACTATACAGTTAGATACTTTCTTCCTCTCTCTCTTTCTCTAGAAGAGAGAGTTTAAAAGAATATCTATACCTTGTATACATTATAACTGCGTTTCAGTTTCATTAGGCTTCTACCAGGCTACATTTTCAGCTTAGAGTCCTACGTTAGCTTGTCGATTTGATTGAATTCTTATACTACGATCTGTTTCAATTACAGTTTGTGTAACAAAATTGCGTAATCCTGAAGTTTAGTTCCTTTTACTCGATTTCTGTTGCTCAATACAATACGCCGTGTAACTTCATACAACGACGTATCGGATATTTTATTTCTTTCCAAAGAGAGAATTGCTGTGTTAAGTCTTATCGACTAATGTGTACCGACACTCTGCGTACAACAGGAGGAAGTATTAGACCAGGAGACGATAGAGAGTAATCGCATGATGGCGAAGATCCACCTGATGGGATTCGATGAGAGCCTGAAGCATCGTGTGAGAAACGACCTGGAGAGCGAGGAGTTTCCGGAATACCTTATGGCGGACGTACCCGACAAACTCCCGAAGAGAAGCGTCACGAAGAAATTGACGCAAGCGGAGGCACGACTCGAGCGATTCAAGAACGCGAATGCAAAGAGGAGCAACAACAACGCGCCGAAACAGCCCACCACGACCGGCGCCGCGACGAAAAGGCGAACGGAACAGATGCTGCCAGCTCGATCAAATTCCAGGTAAGCCGCTTTTTCGCGCGACGCCGCAGCTTATTGTCGCAAAACGAAATCCCAATCGAGCGACAAGTTTCAATGTAAAAAAATAAAGAAGAAAACATCCATCGCTGCCAAATGCCAGACGCGGTGTTCAGCGCTCGTGCACTGAAAAAAGAATTTGATTGACGAAACTAAAATTTAGATAAAATGAGACCAATCAAATATTCGGTAATTACAATCAAAAAGTGTAATTGCCGCTATCTTATCTTCTCAGTAATATATTTATTTAGTCACTAAACAAAACAAAACGGTGGCAATTAATTTTTTTAACATTGGTAGCGAATATGTTGAAAACTTGGTCTATCATCGCGCGGCCACAAATAATAACGGACTTCAATCATCGACAGTCTCGCTATACTGAGAGAAAAAATATCCAAAAAATAGCAAACATTTATTCGGTGTAAGCACTAATGATATATTCACTTAAGAGGATGCTGAAGCTGAAAACTTTACCGACAGAACACTGACATTTTTCTGCAAAGTTAACAAGTTTTACGTCGTATTAGTTACACAGAATTACAAATATTTTTACGCAATGAAAGTACGTGCAAAAATAAATAGAAGCATTGCTCGATATGTGACGAAAACGAAAAAAAATTTTAAATGTAAAATCTCAAGCTGTCAGCGTAATATTTGCCTAATCCAAAAGTTCCGCAGCTTGTATGTACCGAAAGTGTGGATGCTCCAAACAGAAAAATTTTGAAGAACATTGCTTTACCTTCGTATCTGCATTTTGAAGCTTAAGAATATCGAAAAAGTTTGCAGAAAGATTTCTACACATATATGGTTAGGTTTTTCGTTGAATATGATAAAACAAAGCAACACATATTCATGTAAGTTCTGTATATACAAGAAATACGAAAAGGATAGCGTGATTATGTTAGTGACGATCGTCTCTGCATTATCGACACTGTTCGAGTTCGTCGTCGACTCCAGCATCCCTTTAAAACAGTTGCTTTCGTGAGAAGCCGATGTTTTCTTCTAGATATCTAGAGGATGTGTATATTTCTTATTTGAAAAATATATTATTACTACAAATTATATTACTACAAGTAAATATATATGTTATTAAGAATTGCCGAAGAAATATTTGCTATTTCTCAGATACTTTTCCCCCCAGTGTAACGAATTCGTCGCTGCTTGCCAGAATTAATTCCACGCCACGCAACGTAATTGCAATCGCTGACTATCCACGACCGTTACGCACAACGGATACATCCGACTGAGAGAGAGAGAGCAATAATACCATATGATATCTCGTCTCTGTTCTAATACGTGTCCGTCTAACCCTCGCCTCATCGCCGAAAACTAGAGCGAACATTAAAAAAGGAGAAGAAGGACGAACGGTGGACGACTAATTCGCAGAGTTCACGAGCATTGTGCGCAAACTTGTGCCTGCGGGGGAACGTAATTAATCTCCGATTAATCTGGTGCGCGTGACGCAACGAGACGACGAAAAGAAAGTTTCCCCCCGCGGGGGAATGACTCGAAGACACTCGAGGCCGTACGCAAGCTTCATTGCCCCGGTATGTGCGTTGTGTTTAACAATCGTAATTCGCGCGCAGCAGACTTAACAAAAGCGGGTTGCGAAGAGCGAGTAACCGACGCGACGTCGAATCGCTAATCGCTGGCTTTGGGCACTTGTGAGCAGAAATAAGAATTCGCCCGCTGTGAGGATAAGCGCGTTCCTTAGCGACCTTGCTTGAAAATCCCCCCGCATTTGCTCTCACGAGTGTGCCGCTTCTCAGAGGGAGCGAGATCACCGACGCGACTTCCTCGGACAGCGCAAGAAATGGAAGCAGCCGGGCCTGGGAGCGCGGTCGGGGAAATCCCGAAAATGCGAGAGACCCACCGCCGAAGATTCGCGCGGTCGGTCGGCCTTGCATCGCCGACGACGAGGTGAGCAAAACGAGGCGAGGAGAGGAAAGCCCAGACATCGAGACACGTCGACTAAGCTCCCCGGGGAAGGTCGGCACAACTACGGCAGCTTGGAGGAGTTGTTCGCTCGATAATTACTACAAATCGCTGTCATCCGATGGGAAGATGATCATTAGACGTGGCGTGAGTCCGCGATCCCGCGAAAATATAGACTTCAGATCGGCGTCGGCGGATCGAGAAACGCGCGCGAGTCAAAGCACGAGTCCGGAATTCTTCGACGGAGAAGGCGCGGGATCCACCACGACCATGACGATCGATCGAAGAGGATCCACGTCGTCACACGATCGGGAGATATTAACGCAGCAACGCGAAGAAGCCAGAGGATCCACGACGAGTATCGATCGAAAGTACGCCGAGATTACGCGAGAAAAACGCTCCTCCAGTTCGCCATTTTTCTTCAGAGACTCCGGAGAATCCGACGCGACTGTAAGCATTGATCGCAAAAGTATCGGCTACAGATCAGCGTCAGATGATCGACAAACACGTGAGACACGCGCAAGCCGAAGCACGAGTCCAGAATTTTTCTGTAAAGAAGGTGAAAGGTCAGCCACGACCATGATGATCGACAGAAGTAAATCCACGTCGTCTCGCGATCGGGAAATATTAACGCAGCGAAGCGGGAGGGTCGAAGACACCGCAACGAGTATCGATCAAAAGTACGCTGAGATTACGCGTAAGAAGCGCTCCAGTTCGCCATTTTTCCTCAAAGAGCCCGGAAAATCCAGCGCGACTATGAGCGTTGATCGAACAGATGTCGGCTTGAGGTCAACTTTGATCGATCGGGAAACGCGCGAAACACACGCGAGTCGAAGCACGAGTCCAAAATTCTTTGGTAGAGAAGACGAAAGATCAGCTACGAACATGATGGTTAATGAAAGGGCCAGAGGACACACGGTGTCATCACGCAATCGAGAAATATTAACGAAGCGAGACAGGCAAGCCAAAAGAACTACAATGAGCGTTGATCGAAAGTATGCCGAGATTGCACGCGAAAAGCGTTCCTCCAATTCGCCATTTTTCCTTAGAGAATCCAGAAAATCCGGTGCGACTATTGATCGAGCAGGTATCGATTTAAGGTCAATATCGGCCGATCGACAAACGCGCGGGACGCGTGTGAGCCGAAGTACAAGTCCAGAATTCTTTTGTAAAGAAGATAAAAGGTCAGCCACGACCATGATGATCGACGGAAGAGGATCCACGTCGTCTCACGATCGGGAAATACTAACGAAGCAACACGAACAAACCAAAGGAACCACGACAAACATCGATCGAAAATATGCCGAGATTACACGTAAAAAACGCTCCTCTAGTTCGCCATTTTTCCTCAGAGGGTCTGGAAAATCCGGTGTGACTATGAGCGTTGATCGAACAGATGTCGGTCTGAGGTCAAACTCGGCCGACCGACAAACGCGCGGGACACGCGCGAGCCGTAGCACAAGTCCAGAATTCTTCTGTAAAGAAGGTGAAAGGTCGGCCACGACTATGATGATCGACGGAAGAGGATCCACGTCGTCTCGCGATCGGGAAATACTAACGCAGCAAAGCAGGCGAACCGAGGGAACCTCAAAGAGTCTCGATCGAAAATATACCGAAATTGCGCGCGAAAAGCGCTCCTCAAGTCCGTTATCTTTCTTCAAAGACTCTGGAAAATTCAGTGCAACTGTCAGCACTGATCGCAAAAATATCAACTACAAATCAGCGTCAGCTGATCGACAAACACGTGAGACACGCGCGAGCCGAAGCACGAGTCCAGAATTCTTCTGTAAAGAAGGTGAAAGGTCGGCCACGACTATGATGATCGACGGAAGAGGATCCACGTCGTCTCGCGATCGGGAAATACTAACGCAGCAAAGCAGGCGAACCGAGGGAACCTCAAAGAGTCTCGATCGAAAATATACCGAAATTGCGCGCGAAAAGCGCTCCTCAAGTCCGTTATCTTTCTTCAAAGACTCTGGAAAATTCAGTGCAACTGTCAGCACTGATCGCAAAAATATCAACTACAAATCAGCGTCAGCTGATCGACAAACACGTGAGACACGCGCGAGCCAAAGCACGAGTCCAGAATTCTTCTGTAAAGAAGGTGAAAAGTCGGCCACGACTATGATGATCGACGGAAGAGGATCCACGTCGTCTCGCGATCGGGAAATACTAACGCAGCAAAGCAGGCGAACCGAGGGAACCTCAAAGAGTCTCGATCGAAAATATACCGAAATTGCGCGCGAAAAGCGCTCCTCAAGTCCGTTATCTTTCTTCAAAGACTCTGGAAAATTCAGTGCAACTGTCAGCACTGATCGCAAAAATATCAACTACAAATCAGCGTCAGCTGATCGACAAACACGTGAGACACGCGCGAGCCAAAGCACGAGTCCAGAATTCTTCTGTAAAGAAGGTGAAAAGTCGGCCACGACTATGATGATCGACGGAAGAGGATCCACGTCGTCTCGCGATCGGGAAATACTAACGCAGCAAAGCAGGCGAACCGAGGGAACCTCCAGGAGGCTTGACAGGAAATACACCGAAATTGCGCGTGAGAAACGCTCCTTGACTCCGCAATTTTTCTCCAAAAAGTCCGAAAGATCCGCCACCATAACGCTGATCAAGCCAAAGTCAAGTTCGATGGACATCACTAAAAGTATCTTAAAACGGCGCAAGTGTACTTTGAACACTTCCTATAAACAACCCGTGAAAGCTTCGTCGTCGACGAACAAAGAAGCTCGTTTCACGCGAATCGGATACACTCCGAGTTCACTGATGAGCAGAAGTGAGACGAAAAGGAGTGCAAGGAGAAACGAGGTCTCCAGTGCGATCGTTCGATCAGACAGTCGCAGATCATCGAAGATCTCTGACATCTCCGCCACTTCAGCCAGCTCAATCGTGAGCCTGAAGTATGGTCTGGAGTTCGACAATATTCTCCAATCGACAGGGCTTGTCCGTAAATTCATGAAGTCTCAGAAAGAACAACGCAAAACGCATCACCAATTGTCTACAAAGCGCGACATCAAGAATATAAACACGCGAGCCGTGAGAGACGATCATCAATTGAGGAATCGGTGCAAAGTTTCTCCGCTCTCCCAAAAATCGAGCTCACCGACCGTCGACAGCAAACAGAGAACTACACCGGAGTATTCGCGCAAAAGCATCACTCCCACGGAAGTTGACGTGGAGATTCAAGAGATCACCATGACTGACCATCGCATGGAGCGCTCCACGCACGGGTCCAGGAAATCATCGAGTCCGGAACAGCCGAAGAGTCGAATCGAATCTCCGAACGTTTCGACTTCCTCAAGGAAGATGATTTCTCCGAAGAGAGACTGCGGCCGGCAGTATGGCGCGAAGTTCGAAACTTCACCGCGATTCTCATCCTTAAGAAAAACTGCTCGCCGTGGCGCTGACATCCCCAAGACTACGTTCATCCGAAGAGTCGCGGATCAGAGAGAGGATCGGAATTACGCATCCAAATATGCCACGTATACGATCAAAGACCGCAAACGCCAGAGTGTGTTGGTCGCGAGGAAAGGCTCGCCGGACTTGTCCAGCGGTAAAGTGAACACAGAGAGTAAATTCGAGGAGTCAAAAGACGCGCGAGAATTTTCAAAGGCAATGTTCACGCGACGAGAGGACGAGTCTGGAGAAAAAGATACTGGGAGAGTAGGACCGTTGTCCATCCAGGAGTCGGCGACACGAGGACTCGACTCCGTCGGATCCGAGCATTCGGCCCGCTCACTCTCAGAAATCTCCTTGCGAACGATGGACGTGCAAACGAAAGCCCCCGCCATAGAATTAAACGCGAGGTCGACGGTAGACTCTTCTCGCGAAGTAACGAGCGATACGACTTTGAGATCGAGTCTGCGAACTCCGACTGGCAGAGGCTCGAGAGTTGGGAAGATCGCGCGTGGGAAGAGCGATCTTAAAACGACTTCCAGTATGGTGATTCGTTCTTCTAGGAAAATGACGAAAACCTATCGAAACTCGAGCGATAAGAAGCCGGGATCGGCACAGAAGCGATCACCGACCTGCAAGCGCCAATTGTTCGAGTTCGACTCAGAGAAGGAAGTCCAGAAGGGGAAAGAGGAGCGAACGAACTGGAGTTGCACGAAGGCGCGGAAAAGAGAGAATTACTCCTCCGCAGACATTGGAGCTCGCGCAGACGAAGCAACGTCGAAGCTGAAGTCCCTGGAGGACCTCGACGTTGCGACGATCCCGGTGAAACCTCTACGATCCATCGAGGACATCCGCAAGTCGATCGATTGTCGCGAACAAAGCGGATTAACCGCCGCGAAGAGGTCAAGGTCAGCGATTGCAAATTGGCGTTCCTCAACGTCGCGAGAGAGTGGCGATGCGAGAAGATCGATCTCCGCAAGCGGCGCAGCGAGACGCGCGGATGAGCCCGCGAGATTAACTAAAGTTCAATCCTGTGTATCCAGGATCGCGAAGAGCCCGAGTCCAGACGCGAGCGCGAGGAAGCAGCACGAAACGAGCGCGCGAGCGACACGGGGAAGCGCCCCTTCGTCTCCCTCTAAGAGTCCCGATAGACATGTCGCTCCTAGGGTAAGTGTAATTGAAAAACCACGGCGACAGCAATATACAATTCTTCGCGGTATTTATTTGTATCTTTTTTACGTATCTGATACTTTAATGATTCATAGTATTTGATATTGTCGTTTCCTCTTTCTCCGTCGTCTCTTTTTCTGTCTCTTTTTACACTGTAATTCTGTCATTTGAGAATATTTTAGACCACGCTGTTATGAAAATATATGGTGTAACTATCTGTATACTGAGAGAAAAATTATATTAAAATCAACAAATATTTCTTTGATGGGTGCCACTAACATATTTACTTGAATCTACCTTCTCTTTATTTAAATCAAATATTGTTTACCTGATTTAAATAAACAATATTTGGTTTAAATAAAGAGAGTGTAGATATATAGAAGTAAATATATTAATGACACCCATCAAGGAAATATTTGTTAATTTTAATATAATTTTTCTCTCAGTGTAGTAAGAAGAAAGATGATGAAAAAATACGTCCCTAATTTTTAGGTCCTATTCACATGAAGATCTACGCGTTACTTTAATCTCATTTCTCGTAATTTGTTTCACTCATCAGCGCGGATCCACGGAGCCGAAGAACCAAGACGCGAGACTGGCGAGAAGGCCGGTCGTCGCGAAAGCCGCGGAATCGATCGGAAGCAAAACGACGACCGAAGCGATGGACGCGGTCGACGGTGTCGTTCAGCAGGACGGTTCGCCGCGCGAATCCTCCGCGAAAAAGTCCGACGCCTTTGTGATCGACCTGGACGATCGACCGAAAGAAAGCGACACGACGCCTCCGAAAAAAGTGACGCCAATAAGGAGGTCCTCGAACGATGTAAGACCGGATTCTTCTCTTCTTTGCCGAATCCTTTCACTAAAACGCGAGCGTTCTTTCGAGTTATCTCTGTCGCGTGAACTAAGCGGGCATGTCGGCTCAACATGGAAGCTTTGTGATCGGAGTGGACCTGTTTCGTGGGTTGTCGTGTCAGCTGGTACTGACCAGTGCGAGAGCCGCGCGATAAATAAGCCAAGTATAGCCTGCTTTGTGCTATTGTTGCCGCTCATACATACAAATCGAGTTAAATTCACGAAACAGCACACATAGTAGAGAATATTTCTGGTATATACTGAAGTAGAAAGTAACTCTATTGGCTTGTCCAACTAAAATATTCCCATTCTGTTCGGGACAATTGAAGAAATCATGGGAAATATCCATGTAGAAATTTTCACGCTGTCAGGCTAAGAAGATAATCAAACAAGCTACTAATTCATTGCTGTAATATATCCTAATTAAAAAGGATAAAGAACAGGAATGTCCCAATAAAAGAAAAGGGGAAATTTCTGATGCAGTGCTCTCTAAAGTATAATCACAGAATATTCTTCACTGAAATGCTACACTTATAACCGGGTGGTTCAGTTAAAAGTACAACACTGTAAACAGTAAAGTGAGAGTGTTCAATTGAAAATCAATAAATATTCATTGATTATTGGTGAAATGCTCCTTTTACTGATTTATTCAAAAACATTTTAACTGACACACTGCAAGAGAGTATAATACAATATATTATGCAACAAAAATTCTATCCCCACGAATTTACAGAAAAAGAGAGAAAGAGAAAGAGAGAGAAAGTATTCCGTAACTTTCTCTAAAGCTCAGTTTACCAAACGCGGAATACTTTAACGGAAGTTTCGCCGGGAAAAAAATATCATAGAACGCAACGTTGTTGTGCGACTTGCCTGAAAAATCGCTCAAAGAGCGAGCGGATTTAATGGCATGCAGTTTTATTACTAACAGCGCGCAGTTTGTTTCGACATTATTGTCGTTTTGGAGTCGAAATAAATCCGTATTTATTCGATCGAATCGTGACGAGTCGGCGATGAAAAAAAGACAGCGCAGAGTAATGCGCTCTGAAGCGCAGTGTTAAAATAAAATGTCGCCTCTCTCTTTCTCTCTCTCTCTCTCTTTCTTCTTCTCCCTCTCGTGACGCCAATCCGGCCGGTCAGTTAATCGCGCATGGATTTTCCGCCTCGTTCCCAAATTGAAATTCGCATTGTGCATGCTCAAAAAATCAATCAGTGGACGCCGGCCAGGTATTCGATGCGAAGCCAAATCATATTGCTACGCGGTCCCTTCACGTGCCATATAATTTATTTCGCATACAATCGCAATCAGTATGTTTGGAGATATAATTTGCCGAGAAAGAAATTCGAGATAGCCCGCGCGTTAATTATAACGTTCAAAAGCCCGCTAGCTGCGCGAAAGGGGGTTGATGAAGGCGGCTAATAAACTTCACTCGCGTAACACGATTAAATGCCTGATGTAAACTAAGTAACCTACATTATGCGACTTTATCGAGAAATGAATTTCACACCCGCGAAAGCCGCGCTTCTGTCTCGTAGAGGTACATTTCGACGTTACTTAGCTGTCGATTTAATCTCTGCACGTTTGCCTTCAGAAAAATCAAACAACCTCGAGTGCAACGGGCCGACCAAGCTCGTCGGTATCGTCGAACTTTGGCAGTGCTGGCACGACGCAAAGTCAAGCTTCCAGCACGAAAAGTAGAATGGCCACGAGAGCCAAAACGCCTGTTTCCGGTGGATCGCAGGCGAGAGGACCGTCCGCGGCGCGAAACGTGGGAAATACCAACTCCGCGTAAGTTTCTCGCCCGAAGTTGTGCGGTGTGTAAAGGACAATTAAGAAGTAAGAAATAAGCAACTACGGATTGCAGAATCAGTTACTCGAGGAATTAGAACAGAATTAACTCCTAACACATTCCGACAGTCCTGCAAAATGCTTCATTTCAACATTCAAAAGAATATAATCTTATTTTTAGCAGGAAATTCTCTTATATTCTAAATGAAAACTTTCAAAAGAGTGTTCCCCTTCTAATGAAATGAGTTCTATATATTAATCGGAAATCTATTAGATATTTTAATTTTGTTCCTAACGTTAACTTTTTTCTAACTTTTTCTTCCTGAAATAAGAGGAATATATTTACTTGAAACAGAATGCACTCTTATTAGAAAAAATGTATGTTACAGTACATGACTCTTATACTGTAGATAAAAAATAAAATTAATTTTATTGTGCTTAGAATATTTTTCTTTTGGTTTTAGAAGAATCTTCTTGAGGTCGTGTAAAGAGGATTAAAATCTAAGGGATTAAAATCTAAGGGAGGACTAAAGATAAGATTATATTTGTTTGGATAAACAAACTTTTTATAACGACGACCGATGCAAGATGTTAATTTTCCTTAGCAAGAACGACGAGGAAGGTCATCGTAATTCGCGATATATGAATCAATTTATGGTCGATTCCAGAGATAACTTGGTAGCCTGCCACACATGCGGACGCAACTTCGCGCAAGATCGAATCGATCTTCACCAGCAGATTTGCGCGAAAACGACGAATAAGAAGAGAAAGCAGTTCGACGCGATGACGTTCCGCGTCAGGGGAACCGAGCTCGAGCCCTTCGTGAAGAAAGGCGTCGCCAAGAAACAAGAGGTCAGTATTCTTTTCCCGTTCGCCCCGATCTATCATCCCCCGTGCCTCTCACCCCCGTGAAATTTCTCTTTCCTGAGTCTCTGCTCAGTTTGACTATTCGGAGATTGATCTTTTTCACCCATAACGGATCCCGGTATAACTTCGTAATTCGATTCGTCAGCGATTTCCCTCAATTCCGAATTTCGTCGGGGCTTCTCGACTCGCCCGGCACGGAGGAGAGAAGGGCGCGCATGTAAACTCGATTCCCGCGAATTATTCATCGATACGTCCCATAGCTCAGCGTTACGCGCGGAGAGTAAGAGAAAAAAAAGAAAGTACCACGAGGAAAATCCTCGCGTGGAATAAATCGTCGATCTCGCATTCCGGTTCTACGGAAAGTCAAAGGCGCTCACGCATTTCTCGTGCCGTTTCAGTCGCGTGCGAAGAAGCCGGGGCTGAAGTCGAACTGGCGGCGCAAGCACGAGGAATTCATCGAGACGATTCGTTCCGCCAAGATGGTGCAGTCGCACCTGGCGGCAGGTGGCAGCCTGAAGGATTTACCGCCACCCCCGCCCAGCGACACCAGCGATTACATCCAGTGTCCGCACTGTAGCAGGAGATTCAACCAGGCCGCCGCGGAACGGCACATTCCCAAGTGCGAGCACATGCTGCATAACAAACCAGCGCACGCGCGAGCTGCGAGACCGAGACGTTAGCGAAAAATCACGGAATGCAGCCCGGCCGTTTCCTTCGCGAATCCGAACTCCTTCTCCTGAAAGTCGCTCGCTGGTCAATTAAGCGCAGCCGACCTAAGTGTACACGTGCCTTGTATTCAAACATTTTGGTCGATATATACTTCTCTTTCTTTCTTTCTTTCTTTATCTCTCTTATTCTCGACTTCGAACGCAAGTCGGGGGAAAACGTTGAGCCTGAAGCTCGACGAACTTGTCGTCAAAACTTGTCCGGAATTAATATTTTTCCAAAATGAAGATTAAAAGAGGAAGAGCTCATCGTGAGCTGTTCGTGACTTCGCGATGAACAAACGCTGTTCTTGCGAAATGTAAGGCACAATTTGAAATTTTTACTTGGTGTACGAGTCGCTGCGTCGCTGCAACTATTAACAGAAACTTCGCGAACTAAAGAGCTATAATTAAAAAAAGCGTTACGAGAGCACGTCGCATTAATGATCACAGAAATTGTGTATATTAACAATCGCGGGGGACGGCATGCACAGTCGCGCGAATGCGGGATAGTCCGGCAACCGCATCGATTGGCAATCTCGACGTTTAAAATCCGGTAGACACGCCGATAATGAATGTCGCTTTTCACTCGTAAAACCACGTGTCGTTCAAAGGGGGCTTTGACTAACTGTTGATCGGATTTTTCTATTATCGCGTTGACTTTTCTATGCATTATAATCAAGCGCATTTTTATAACCGCAACAATCATGTACGACACGCAGATGCGAGTATGCGCTGATGATGTACGTGAAATAAATGTATTATACAGCACAAATGGCAATAAATTCGGAATTCTTGTTTTTTGTAGCACACGAATTCCATACACGATGAATCGTGCCTCAGATCTCCCTTTAATTCACCTTTGCAGTTTCATTTGTATTACTTCATCTCGAATTTGTTAAATCGCGCAAAAGAAATCTCGATCATTGGTAATATTTTAAATATTAATTTTTTGTTCATATATTGACTTTTCTCATCATCCCAATTATAAATACACTATCTCACGTAATAGTATTATACACAATATATATACACTATTATCTAAATACATATTATGTAAATACATAATATCCAAGTATAATTAATGCTAATTTATCCATTGTTTTTCTTTCAATTATATATAATTAAATAAGTCGCAACCCCGTTAAATGTCTCGCGACACTTGTAAAATTATTTTAAGATACGAACTATAACACTTTTATTTTAAAAAATACAACAATCCCTTAATATTTTCACCAAAAAAGAATCAACTGAAAATTGGCCACGAAATTACAAAGTCAATTTTTAAAAATACGTTTTTCCTACAGGACAAGTTATAACATATCTAGCATTTTTTATTGATTTTCCTCGCTAGTATACATGAAAATCTCCGAAATATCCCACTAATTTTATGCATCAAACATATTATATATATATATATATATATATATATATATATATATGTATATATATATATATATATATATATATATATATATA